GCGGTTATATCTGGTACCAGCCTGGGATGAAAGTATAATGATTTGTCACTTATAAGAAAGCGACGTGACAAAAGGGAAATGCAGATTGTTACCTGCGGCTAAAGCTTCCACACACGACCATATCCAGCTGGATTATGTTTATCTGATAAAGGCCTACTGGTATCACATTGCCGTGAGTAGAACGTCCAAAATAAGTGCCCCGTGTGGCCTCTGATGTTTATTTGATTTCTACCACAGAATACGTTTGAGTATTAATAGTGACGGTTTAGAGTGGCTCGCTGATTAAATTTTGCTTCGCCACAGCCTGGGAGAAGATAAACATGGTTGAAATAATCAACAGAGTTTCATATCTTGGCAATGTAAATGTATGACTGTTTTGCACATCAACCTTTAAAATGGATTAGATGATACGGGGCCTTTATAGGAAAAAAACAAGGAATAAGCAATGTCTTCAAGTACCCAAGTCATGCCTACCCACGCACTGTCAGACAATGGTGCCAAGGTTTAGTAGAGTTTAACATCTTACAAGCTAAACATATGACTGCTCAGCACAGCAATTCTTTTCAATGGATCAGATGATACAAAGACCCTAGAACATGAAAAGAACAAGAAATGAGCCACGTCTTGAAGTGCCCAACCCGTTACCAGTGACAACAAGGGTGCTGAGGTACAGAGAACGGCTAATGTACATGTGAACAAAGGCTAGGAGAGACAGGACTTGGATTGCCTATTGAACTGCCACAGCGCCAGTTCTGGATGCAGATATGCTATTCTCAATTGATCAAAGGAAATATGTTGATTTTAAAAGAAAATAAAGTATTCAAAGAAGTCTCTGATATCTCTCCAAAGGCTACATGACTGCTGAAGTCTCCCAACCCATGTATTTTTTTTTTAAATCTAATCAGAAATCACCCAGTGCCAACTGTCATAGTGCTAGGTCTTCCCACTAGATCACAGAAAGTATGGCACTTCATAAGAACAGGAAATAACCATGGCTTCAAGCACTAAGTTCATCCCTACAGGTGCACACACAATGGTGCGTTAGTTATACATACATGCCAGTTCCTGTTGCCGAAAAAAATCTCAAAGATATTTCAACAGGTATACCAGGAGCTGCCCACTCGTTCTCAGTAATCAGATACTCATTTATATACAGGCTGGTCTTCAGACTAACTCACTGATGAAAGACAGCTGATTCTATATAAAATATCTGACTCTTTAGAAAATAATTCTGGAAAACAGCACTTCTCTCAAATCATAGGAAATGTCGTTCTTCTTGAGAACAGGATAAAACCATGGCTTCAAGCAACAAATTCATGCCTACATGCACAGGTGCAGAGACAATGGTACGTGAGTTATAAATAAGCGCTAGTTCCTGTTGCCGTGAGGAACCTTAAGTTTATTAATGTCCTGGGCGGCAGGATGAAAGCCCCCAGTGTGAGTCAGGGTAGGCTGAAAACGTGCTCACTCCTTCACGTGGCGACGGCACAAACCAGATGTCTCCATTCAACATCAGTAAAGTAAAGAAAAGAAAAGAAAAGAAAAGGAAGCTCGCTCCAGTTTTAGCTCACCGAAGAGCTAATTATAATCTCCCACTGGTGTTAACAGAAAAGACAGAAGCTATGTACAGTATTTATAATACAAAGATACCGGGAAAATCCCTTCACGTGGCGACGGCACAGACCAGATGTCTCCATTCAACATCAGCGAAGTAACAATGTCTTTACAACAGAAGCTATTCTTACTACTACCATTAGTTTTAGTACTACCTTCGTTTCTGCATGTCCAATCCGCATGGATTTGCGGTCCCAGAATATTTATAGAATATTCAGTTTTATCTGTCTCAAGCGAAGTAAAGAAATGTGATCTCGATCCAGTTTTAGCTCACTGTAGACCTAATCTCTCACTGGTTGTAACAGAGAAGACAGACGCTATGTACAATATTTACAAAGGTACCGGGAAAATCTCCCGTAGCTCATTTCAACAAGCACAGTGAACAGTGGATCACAGCACCGTCCTGAGGACTGCAATCTTTTCCAATAGCGTGTGCGATAACAGCCGGGATTCGAACTCCCAACCTCTTGACCCAGAGGCAGCGTCACTAACCATAGTGATGCCTTTACAACGGAAACCAAATGACATGATAAAGTCTCTAACTGGATTTGCGTATAAACTGCCCTGTTTTATGTATGCCATGTATTTATTCATGTAATTCTAGGGTTTCATCGATAGCTTAATTAGATTGTGTGATTGACTTTCTTGAGTATCAGCTACACTTTACTAGAAATTAATTTATGTATAATTTGATATTCAGTGACTGTTTATGTGCTGTATGTCGTCTCTTTAATTGCACCCGAAAGTCAGTATATTGTAATTTACATCTACCTATGAATAAATCAATGAAAAGGTATTTAACAGAGTCAAACATTTCAGATAGCATCTGCTTTCTTTCATCAGTGACTACAAATGAGTAAGGGGACAAGAACTAGTTACAATCTTGTATAGGAAATTGAAACCTCCATAGCCTTGTTAGGTAAGAGGAGGAACCAAGTCATCAGCAACGACCGGCCTCTTAGCAAGAACATTCATCTGAGTTAAACTGCATGATGAAAATGACATTATGCAATTCTGATGCAACATGCATCTACAGCACTTGGGTCAGATAGCTGCTGAAGACCGAGAGATTTGGTCGAAAATTCCGGCGAGTCAAATTCTTTTTGAGTTGGAGAACAGTTCAATTTTCATTATTCTATAACCCATCACCTTCGTTCAGTTGATAGAAGAACTTTATTGCACGACAATTGTACATGGCACAATGTATGGCAACGACTATTGAACATATTTGACGTTAATGATGTTCATTATTGCAATTTGTTTTATATTTAATAATGTAATCTGCTTTTATATTCTGTATGTTGTGTTTGGGAGGACAACTTGTAAAGGTGTCAATGCACCTGTTTTTTCCTCCCTTCCACTTCTATATCTGGTGGTAAATTCAAATAAACAAATAAATAGTTCTAAAAGAAAAGGGTATAGAATGAAAACATTCTAATTACTAAACATCAAGAGATAATACAGTTAATTTCCTGAACTGAATCTGCTATTATGACTCACCACGTCCCCGACTGACGGATTTATGGAGGCCGACTCTGCATCGCGAAAACATCACGTTTCTTATCACTGAATTTACAGCCGAAACTCCCCTGTGATGGACCAATGCAATTACCTCTTCCTTAGTCCCCAAACTGCGTGATTCTCTGATACCGTGACCTTACATAACCCACATCACATCTAGCCTCCTTTTCAGGCGTTCCCGGATCGGCCGTTTTTGGGGGGGAGGGGGTATTTTTTGATCAAACGTAGATCGCACGCAATAGAAGCTCCGGCCGACAACCCTACATATATCTCCGTGAACGCCTGGAAAGGAGGCTACATCACAACAGCAAAAACAGCTGTTACCGAGCATTAGGGTCTACAGGGGGATGGGGTGGTCTCCACTAGACTCTTTTGCATACTGTACAAATAGTAAAAATCGGCCTAATGTAGCTGGCCTGGGGAGTTGGCCGGCCATAGAGGGTCCAGTTTGCAAAAAGGGCCTGGGGTGGGTCCTGACAATGTTAAAGGGTAAATTCAAAATTAAGGCTTGTAACGGTTAACGGTAAATTCAGGAATGCTGGCCGAATTTACTTTAAAACTATTGATATTTTGTCTTACGCCTTGTATATTGTAATGATTTGTATTATGGTGTATGTACCAGTTGTATCCACTATGAGCCTTGCTGCTGCCTGGCTACCACTTGTCATGCACTGTTGCATCCCCAATAAATGTAATCAAATTTATAGTTCAAGCTTTGTTCCAACACAAGGAGACTCACCATTTGTGTCGGAACAAAGCTTGAACTCTATAACTATGGATTCTACCAACACAGATGAGCTTCCATTCAATTTACTTAACGTTTGTCGACATCCTTGATGGGAGTATGTTAGCTTTCATGACCCTAACAAAGAGCTATCCCATTTCAAGTCTGTCCCTGTAAGGCCAGAGGCACTGCTTTACTACTAACAGAAGATTCTGATGAATGATGTCATCTAAAAGTTCAATCACCTCCTTGGTTCTATGAATGCGGCTTTGATGGCGAGATCACCAAAGCTGCGCACAGTAATTACGGCTCCCATTACTGCCAGAAAGAATTAGATCCGTCCCCGTTGTTCAAAGTCGTCAAAGGCACTACTTATATTTGAAGAGTTGGCTACATCCTGTAAAATTTCACTTGAAAGCGAGCTTGCAGCAGCTTGGCCTAATTGAAATGCATTACGAATGATGTAAAGACACCGTTGCCTTGGAATCGTACGAAACACGTCAATCATATGGGCGTAACCCAAAGCGAGCGCTCTGATTGGTCGAGCCCACCATTGAGAAATCTTCGATGCTGCAGATCTTACAGCCAGATTCTATCATCCACGACACGTCAATCAAGTGGGCGTGGCGCAAAGCGAGCGCTGTGATTGGTCGAGCCCACCATTGACAAATCTTCGATGTTGCAGATCGTACAGCTAGATTCTATCATCCACGACACGTCAATCAAGTGGGCGTGGCGCAAAGCGAGCGCTGTGATTGGTTGGCTCTTTCATTGACAAATTTTTAATGCTGCAGATCGGCCAGATAGATTCTTTTATCTACAGCCCCAGTAAGACAGCTTCTCTCCGGTTTCCTTCAGCTAGCGGCGCGCAGTGAGGAGCTCGGATCACCGCTTTCTTGGAACGGTAAGACGTCAATCAAGCTCGGGAAAAGCAGCTTCTCTCCCGTTACGTACAGTTAGTGGCGCTAGGTGTCAATCAAATGGGCGTGGCGCAAAGCGAGCGCTACCATTGGTCGCGCCCTGACTTCCTTCTCCATTGACAAATCTTAAATCCTGCAGACCGGCCAGCCAGATTCTATCATCCACAGCTCGGGTAAAGTTGCTTCTCTCCGGTTTCCTACAGTTAGCGGCGCGGGGTAGCGAGCTCGGCGGCGATGGAAGCGAACGGGACCGAAGCGGCCTGTAACGCGTCCGGCGGACCCGGCTGGGACGGGGTGCAACAGGAGACAACCTGGGGAACCATCGCTCTGGTCGTGCTGCTTTCCATCATCGTGGCCATCACTGTGGTGAGTAGATCAATGTTCTCATGTGAAGTTTACCTCAAACATCTTTAGCTAACTGATCCGTGAAGAACTAATCTTTCACTGGTCGCCAATGAAAAAACAGACGCTATGTACAGTATTCACAGGTCCTGCTAGTACATTGTACCGGGGAAATCCCCCTAGCTTCTTACAGCAAATACAACGCACAGTGAACCACTAGTAGTAGTTTTCATGTGAAACTGATCTCCAACCAGCTTAGCTAACTGATCCATGAAGCTTAAGAACTACTGGAGCCACTGGTCGTGACAGGGAAGACAGACGCTATGTACAATATGAACAGTATTCACAGGCACTGCTAGTACATCGTAACCTACATAGCTCCTTACAACAAATACAATGCACAGTAGGCCACTTAGATGTCTCCATGAGAAAGTGATCTCGAACCAGTTTACCTCTATGAAGAGCTTGTCTTCCACTGGTCGTGACAGAGAAGACAGACGCTATGTACGGTATGCACAGTATTCACAGGTACTGCTAGTACATTGTACCCCAAGCTCCTTTAAAAGATCTGTCACAGCCCACTTGACAACCCTCCGACAAGGTGACCGCGTCGTAAGACTCTTCAGTGTACCACTCGGGTTTTTATTAACGTTAGGATCTCACTAGGCATATAAAGAATGAATGGAAGAAGGTGCAACACGAGTGGGAAACATATGTGCGGTATATCTACGGACGTGGACGACATGCCCCTTTTCTTTTCGGCTGGTTTGGAAACAGAGCAAATTTTTGGGACAGTTGTGGAGGTAAAAAACATAGCTGTGCTGTCACTGAAAAGTTTATTTTAGTTAGTCGTTTTTGGACAGTCGTGGGGGAAGTCGTGGAGGTAAAAAACATTGCTGTCCTGTCACGGAAAAGATCGTCTTAAATCCTTGTCAGCGGTAAACGGTTGTGAAAACCCTTCGACATAAAAAAATCGTACAACGGCCTACCACAAATCTGCCCACGTCGTAAGACCCTTGAGTGCGTTACTTTGGGTTTTATTACCGTTAAAATCTGCCTATGGATATAAAAAAAATGACACGACGTAGGTCGGTCGGCGTTGCTACGCAAGTGGGAATCATATTTACGATGTATCCACAGACGTGGTCCAAAAGGACTGGAGAAATATCACCTTTTTCGACGGTTTTCCAAACAGATATTGCTTTTGAATCCGGTCGCGTAGGAGGGAAAAAGTCACCATATTCACTAGTTGATAAGAAGCACATTTTACCTCTGACACAGAGTTCCAGTGGGCGTCAAGTGAAAGCAAATAATCACCAAATGGCGATGGCGATTAAGCACCCAATATACTACGATTATCTCCAAGAAATGTACGGGAAGTCAGAAGGACACTTTGACGAGAGAAGCGTAGGAGTATCTCCATCAATAACGGCCGTACAGCGGAGAGTGGGTAATAATTGTTTATTACTGAGTTATGAAATACCATTCCCTGTTCGCAAAGGTAAAGACCTTTGGACAGAAATGTAGAAATACGACCACTAAAACAAAGTGCATCGGCGGTTTATCTCCTTTTAAGGTGCATTAACAGACGTCGTACTTTTTTGTGGTTCAGTCTACAGATTTACAACAAGTGTGGCATTACTAGATATATTTTGTGCAACACATTTGCGACGTACAACGTGGCACAGTAACAGACGTGCGGTTTTTATTTTTGGTGGTACGATTTTCTGACAGGATTTGATTGACAAGCTTCGACATAAACACTTGCTGACAAAGATTTACGATAACTCAGCCATTCACGACTGTCTGTAAAACGTTTTCAAGTTGTTGAAAATTTGTCGTACGGCCTATGTTAGTACATGTAGGAAGAGTTTAAACCACAATATACAATGTTTATGTATTTCCAATTGGATAGACCGCCACGCGCGACTGATGAATGAAAAAAAACACACACACAAAAACACAGATTTCCCAACGAATTTCGTAGATAAATAGCAAAGTCTTGTACATGTTGTTGTACTTTGCTAGCTTTTAACCCATAATGCTTTTATACCGTGCAAGCAGGGCCAATTAGAGATTAAAGGCCACACAAATCCAACTTGGCCTTTCAACCATCACCGTCTAGCGCAAAGGGAGCCTAATTGACCTGGGATTTGTTGGCAGCAATGGCTGAATTCTAAGTAGAAATCACAACCTTTGGACCAACGCAGGAAAGTTGGAGCATTGACTCTCCTCCACCGTATGTATCACAGAGAGGCACCAGCCCTGTTAAATGGCCTTGTTCCTAAACATATAGAGGTACGGAGGCTGACACGCCAGTCAAAATCCCAGCACAAGAACACTCTGATGATCCCGTCTCCCACAATCATGAGAGAACCTTTCTACAACTATCAACTGCTGAACTTTGCAACAATCTTCCGAAGGCAATTGCTAAGATCAGGGACAGACAGAGATTTAAATGTGAGGTTAATTCTTTCCTCAGCTCAAAACTCTCTCAGCGTTCTATCTAGGCAGTCCTGCTGCTAATGCTGAGTGAGAGCTGACATAGATTAAAAAAACTATGCCAAGATATCGACCCGGATGTTTTTTAACAGATCCATCCATTGTTCCTTCAGGTGGGAAACATCTTGTTGACAAGGATTTACAACTGGGCCATTACAAGATTGATAATTTTTTATAACATATTCACGACATCTCCAAAATGTTGTCGTTGGGTTGAGATTCTTTGGCAGCAATGACTTAACCCTAACTAGAAATCGAAAGCCAGGACATCCATCCCGCGATTTGTAACAGACCGTTCGGTTGTTCCTTCAGGTGGGGAACATCTTGGTTCTCCTGGCCGTGGCGACACACCGGAGTCTCCAGACGCTGTCTAACGTGTTCCTGGTGTCGCTCTGCGTCTCGGACCTGCTGGTGAGATACTCTCTCGTTTTCTTCTCAGTTTTCACCGCGTAATAAGGCTTGATTGCCATTTCTGTGGTTACTGGTTACAGATTATATGGATTGGGTTGTATTGGAATCTCTGTCCAAAGAGGTCCAGTAATAAAATTTGTAGGAAAGCCACAAAGGGGGCCAAAACCGATCCCACTTCTTCCAAAACGTGGATACCACCTGCCACTAAACCATTATGACCGAAACATGAGATACCAAAACCTGTCATTTAGCTGCAACCATGCTGGGGCAAATCTACGTTAGGAAGACTATCTAGAAGCGTGCCTGATATTAACCCTAAGCTAAAGGCATAGAAATAGATAGGCACGGTTCTGGATACCATAAGAACACCATGTTTTGTATCTCCCCAGGTGGGTGCCCTGGTGGCCCCTCCTGCCGTTGCCATCACCCTGTACGGGGAGTGGGTTAGGATTAGGGCTAGTGTTAGTAGAGACATGATAATGACAGCATATGTTCTATGTTCTCCCTAGGTTGGCGCCCTGGTTGCCCCCCCAGCCGTTGCCGTCACCCTGTACGGAGAGTGGATCTTCTCCCCAGGATTCTGCGCAGTCTGGGTGTCGTTTGACGTCATGCTCTGCAGCGCCTCTATCCTGAATCTCTGCGTCATCAGCCTGGACAGGTGAGAACAACAAGTGTTTTTGTTTGTTTGTTTGTTTTCTGACGTCATACTGTGTAGTGCCTTCATTTTGCGCCATTAGTCACAGACAAGTGTGACGTAGCGGGAGAGTGCTCGACTCGGAACCAATAGAGCCCGAGTCCTGACATGCCACCGATCTTGTGCCCTTGGGAAAGGCACTTTACACGACTTTCCTCACTTCACTCAAGTAAAAATGAGTATTGTATTGTCCCCTGTGTTGGTGACGGCATTAATATAAGTTGAAAAAACTTGAGTGTGCCGTCACCATGTCTTGTGATTATATGTTGGAATAAAAAAAGTTAGAACCATAGGTTTCTCAGTAACACTGGTTAAAATCCTTGTCGCACATTGCCGACAAAACAACCTTCACAACCTAAACTACAAATAACATCTGGAAAAGACCACGCTATATAAAGCTAGCCGGACAGCCTGCAGTTTCTAAGAAGATTATTAGTCCTTATCAATCAAACGGTTTGACGCAGGAACAATGAGTGACGCTTATAGAGACAGGATAGAAGGAAATCCACGTTATATAACACTGACTAGGGCAGACTGGAGTCTGTAAGAAGCGTATTAGCCTTTCCCAAGCTGTGTGTCTGTCTCTGAAAGTCCGTCTTTTTGTTCTAGATGGTAATCCTTTTGGGAGAGGTTACGTAACACTGGGAAGGGCAGACCGCAGTTGCTTTGAAGCAGGTTGTGTGATCTTTAAGGCACGTTATGTAATCTGTTTACCGTTCCATGATCACTATTTTCACCATTTTACCATTACTTTCTTTTACTATGATCATTTTATGAGACAGGATAGAAGGAAATGACACTGGCTAGGGCAGACTGGAGTCTGTAAGAAGCGTATTAGCCTTTCCCAAGCCGCGTGTCTGTCTCTGAAAGTCTGTCTTTTGTTCTAGATGGTAATCCTTTTGGGAGAGGTTACGTAAGACTGGGAAGGGCAGACTGCATTTCTTTGAAGCAGGTTGTGTGATCTGTATGTAAGACAGGTTATGTAATATGTTTACATTGAATTTCCCTGAAACTTCTCTGGAAGATGGTGATCGTTGTTTCACCATTTTCACTATGTAGGTTTTACGATCTGAAAGACAGGTTATGTAAGTTGTTTACATTGAATTTTCCTGATCACTGTTTTCACCATTTTACTATTGGATTGGACATGTAGAGTGAGGCAACTTGTGACAACATCACCAACAGAAAAAAAACGATTGATTGAACTTCTTAGTTGCAAGCTTGTCTTTACATCAAAACGAATCATTGAGTATTTCATCCAAAGGTCCTGTAAAGTATCCTCTCTGCTGTTGTTGAAGCACAAACAGCTTAAGCTTACACAAGACAGCCTCAATGTCTATACAGATCTTTCGATGGCTGCAAGAAGTCTAAACCTCTAATTGGAGAAAGGGATCTTCTTTCTACAATCCCTTAAGTACGGCTTGACTCAAGGCCTTTTAAGTCTCAGGGCAACCTTGTTTACCAGAAATGAAACCTTGTGCGCGGAATGAAAAGAAAGGGGCGTGATCCCGTCATTGAGGCTGAATACGAACATTTCCCAAAGTATCCTCCTTACTGTTGTTGAAGCATCAACATCTTAAGCTTACAAAAGACAGACTTAATCTCTAGACAGATCTTTCGGTGGCAGGAAGGCAATATCAAAGTGGCAGAGCAGCGTTCATTTGGTAGTTACCATTTGCTGCCGCGTAAAAAAAGATACCAGTACAAAAAATAAAGTCCGTTAAAAACGAAAATAAGCCGAAGTCTAGACCTTCTGGGAGAGTAGAGGATCCTCTCTACAATCCCTTAAGTACGGATTGACTCAAGGCCTTTTAAATCTCAGGGCAACTTTGTTTACCAGAAATGAAACCTTGTACAAGGGATAAGAAGAATAGGACGTGATCCCTTCATTGAGGATGAATGCACTGCAAATCAGGTTAGCACCTCTCCCTCAGTCTCCGATGCGATTAGAGCGAACTCTGTTTTTCAACGATAGCCGGATAACAAAAACATCGGAGTGGCAGTTACAGCTATCTTCATCAGTATGCTTCACCTTGTGTAGCCTAGTATGTGAACAGTCGTAGTTATAGAAATACTTGTTCTAGTAGATCTTGTGTTGTCTCACTCTTGTGTCAGATTTGAGGTAGTCTTTCGTTTCAACCACAAATAAAAGATCAACGTGTGTTACGTATTTATGAGCGCAGATGCTGTAGCAGTTTGAGTACGTAGCATTTAAGCAAGCTTTCCTAGACAATACCCCTGTAAAATTCCCAATCCTACCAGAGAATAACCATTTTAGACCTGGGAGAAGTGGGGAAAATCGTGCCTTTCCCAAGGACAGAATGTCAGGCAAGAAATCGAAATGATGACCTCCTACAAACTCGCTTAGCCTCTATCATTCAATGCTACTTTCACAGAGCAAATTCGTTTATAAAAGGCTAGTAACAGTACCACTGTGAAATCCCCAACTCTACCAGTGATAGACCACAAGACAAGCTTGCGTTGCCTTCTTCCTGTCTATAAAAATATCTCCACATCTTTCCCAGATATATCCAGATCACTCGACCCCTGCAGCATGATGTGTACATAATCTTAGCCTGGCTCCCGGCCATCTTCGGTCCCTTGCTTTACACATATTCCCTCTCTGTTCCCCAGATATATCCAGATCACCCGGCCCCTACAACACGACGTCTACATGACCAACACGCGAGCTGGTATCCTGATCGCCCTAGCCTGGCTCCTGGCCATCTTCGCGGCCTTCACTCCCATAACACTTACACATAGTCCCCATATCTGTTCCATAGCTATAACGTTTATAACTTTATGGTATTCGCAGTTCTTAACAAAATTCTCATCTCATTCCCAGATATATCCAGATCACCCGGCCCCTACAACACGACATCTACATGACCAACACTCGGGCGGGTATCCTGATCGCCCTAGCCTGGCTCCTGGCCATCTTCGCGTCCTTCCCTCCCATCACATCATAAATAATAACTTCTCTCTCTGTTCCCCAGATATATCCAGATCACCCGGCCCCTACAACACGACGTCTACATGACCAACACTCGGGCGGGTATCCTGATCGCCCTAGCCTGGCTCCTGGCCATCTTCGGTCCCTTGCTTTACACATATTCCCTCTCTGTTCCCCAGATATATCCAGATCACCCGGCCTCTCCAACACGACATCTACATGACCAACACGCGGGCCGGGATCCTGATCGCCCTAGCCTGGCTCCCGGCCATCTTCGCGTCCTTCCCTCCCATCACACTGTGAATAATAACCTCCCTCTCTGTTCCCCAGATATATCCAGATCACCCGGCCTCTCCAACACGACGTCTACATGACCAACACTAGCCTGGCTCCCGGCCATCCTCGCGGTCTTCCCTTCCATCACACTTGCCTTACACTAAGCAGATTCTTAACAAAATTCTCGTCTTATTCCCAGATATATCCAGATCACCCAGCCTCTCCAACACGATGTGTACATGACCAACACTCGGGCGGGAATCCTGATCGCCCTAGCCTGGCTCCCGGCCATCTTCGCGTCCTTCCCTCCCATCACATCATAAATAATAACTTCTCTCTCTGTTCCCCAGATATATCCAGATCACCCGGCCCCTACAACACGACGTGTACATGACCAACACTCGGGCGGGTATCCTGATCGCCCTAGCCTGGCTTCTGGCCATCTTCGCGTCCTTCCCTCCCATCACGCTGGGCTGGCACGAGCACGCCGGACACCCGAGCCTGAGCGACCTGACCGCCTTCACGCCGCAGCCGCAGTGCATCTTCGACCCGAGTAAGACCTACGCACTGACGGCTTCAATCGTCACCTTCTACATCCCGCTCGCAGCCATACTGTTCACTTACAGCCGCATCTACAAGGAGGCAAGGTAATGTAATTCCTGTACTTTTTAGGCCAGGTAATGTGCTGTATCCATTACCACATTCAGATTCGTTTTTAGGCAGAGCCATACTCAGATATGGGTAGTCCATGCATATCCAGAACCATGCTTTATCTAGAACCGTGTTGTGTCCAGAACGGTTCTGGATAGACTATCCTGAACCTTGCCCGATCCCGACCCTAACCCAGTCAAGATTGAGTAGAGATGGAGATGGAAAAGAACGCAATGATACGTACTAGTAAAGACATATAAAAGTAATTGAGACATAATAGAAATCAGTAAACGATCAGAAACAGCTACCATTCAGTAATCGGATCAAAAACGACAAATTATTGCCTTTAAACCTCGTTCTTCGTAAAGTTCCGCAGCTAAAATTGAATTTGTTCTCTATTACAACAGATCCCAAGCAGCAGTTCCGTAGCGAGTCGAGACGGAGAAACGGGAAGAGAGGCAGTCAGCCGATAGGACCGGCTTTCATCAAGGCTATCCGCACTCTGGGCATTCTGTAGCTAATTTCTTTTGTCCTATCTTTCCCTTAGGTCCCAAGCCACACGGGTAGCTTCCCTGAACAAGCAGTTCCGTAGCGAGTCCAGAACCGTGCTTTATCCAGAACCATGCTCGGGAACGGTCCTGGATAGTCCATGCGTACCCAGAACCGTGCCTGGGGCAAATCTACGTTTTTGGAAGTTTTGTAGCTTATTTTTTCCCCTTTTCATCTTTCCCTTAGGTCCCAGGCCACGAGAGTAGCCTCCCTGAACAAACAATTCCGTAATGAATCCCGCCGGAAAAACGGAAAGCGCGGCAGTCAGCCCATCGGTCCCGCATCCACCAAGGCTATCCGCACTCTGGGCGTGATCCTGGGGGCCTTCATGGTCACGTGGCTGCCGTTCTTCGTCAGTAACGTCGTGCGGCCCTTCTGCAAGTGCGTGCCGGGGGAGGTGTTCGAAGGTCAGTGTTCAGTATTCCAGAACCGTGCTGTATTCCAGAACCGTGAAGTATTCCAGAACCGTGAAGTATTCCAGAACCGTGCTGTATCCAGAACCGTGCTTTATATACTTTCCCATGCCAGAACCACTGTATGTCAAACTGTTACCATACAGATATGGATCTATACATAAACGTCTTTTTCATCTCGTTTGTTTTGTTCTTGTTCGCTGCAGGTCTGACGTGGCTGGGCTGGTGTAACTCCACCATGAACCCCATCATCTACCCGCTCTTCATCAAGGACTTCAAACAGGTCTTCCGCAAGTACCTGCCGTGCTTCAAAAGAGCGCCGCCTGGCGGGGGAAACGCGATGGGCATCGGCGAGCTGCCGGGACCCGGGCCGGTCCCAGGCCCGTCCACTTCTAACGACAACGGCGGCATCGAGATCAACACCGTGGCCGGTAACGTCCAGGCAGGAAATTGCGTCCCCTCTCCCGTGAAAAAGTACAGCGCATCCCTGTGAAAACCCGAGCCCGGTAGGCATTGGAAAGCTACTCGGACTGACAAGGCCTACATGTAACTTCTAACGACAACGGCGGCATTGAGATCAACACCGTGGCCGGTAACGTCCCAGCCAACAACTGTGGTCCCTCTCCGGTGAATAAATAAACACAAACTAAAGGACAAAGGCGGTTTTACCCACTGCAAGTTCCAACTAGACTGGCATCATTAAAATCAGAACTGAAAGTGACAGCAACTAACGACAACAGCATCCCTGAAATCAGTAGTGGTGGGTACCACTTCCAAAAACAATTGCGTTCACTCTCCTGTGAATAAATAGACACAGAAAAGGGACAAAGACAGTCTTTCCAAGTTTCAACTAGACATCATTGAAATCAGCGCTGTTGCAGGTAACTGAAGTAAAAGATCGGGTTTGATAAACTACAACAACATCACTGAAAACGCTGTGGACAACAAGTTGACTCTGCCGTGAGTAAAAAGACTCAATCAAGGACAATCCACCGCACGTCTAACAACAGCATCAGCCATGGAATCAGCACCAAGGACAGCCACCGTGCGTGACATAACGAAATACAGACTCAAGGACTAGGAACATTTACCAGTTTAAAGTATCAAAGGGTACTGAACCGCATCCAGTATCTTTGTGGCCAGAGGTTGTTTTTTAGCGCATCATCCGAATTAAGTGGCAATTTCTGCGGGTAATGAATCGTGGACGAACGATTTGGTTTTCGTAGGCCATGTTGCGGCTTAACGCCACACATCAAAGATGCTTTCATCGTAACACGGTACAGCATATCAAAGCCTATTCCAGCCGAGCCAAATCAAAGGGAAATATTTTGAGCCAGGACGAAGTGAGTTAGGGGAGTGACGCAGGTTGTCAGTTGCGGACTGTGTATAGTTGAATTAAAGATGATCTAATTTTTTGTTTATTGTGAAACAAAGTGCTCACGTGTACAGGAGTATGTTTTGAATGCTACTGTAGTGCTAGGGTGCCTGTGTGGACCAAGGGCTATAGAAACGGAGATGGGCACCGCCCTACAGACGGAAATAGATGAAAGATGCGTTAGAACCATTTTATGTGGCTCTATTTTACTTTATGTATTGTAAATGGCATCTAAGATCAAGATTTGTTTAGTGCTGTAAGTTCTTTCAGTTGTAACCGTGAAAACGTTTATGATATTATTATGTATCATGTATTGACATTTTGACTGTAAAGGTTTAGGAATATGATACCTTTGATTCGTCAATGTAAATAATTAATTTGAGTGCCGTTTTCGACATATGGATTATCATTGTGTAACTTGATTTGGTGGCAATTTTTGGATTTTGAGTTGTTATGTGCATCAAAATGTTCCCACACTCATGTTGATTTGTCAGTATTCCAATTAAAATCTTAAAAGTCATGATCATCGTTGTTTTACTGATGTTATGTATCAATAATTAATTAATTACCAATGGCAATTATCTATTAATGCTTAGCCAGCAAACTGGGACACACATAAGCAAGTTTCTCAGACCACATAATATTTTCACAAGAAACCTTACTTTTAAAGACGAAACCGCAGCGAATTAGGCTAAGCCTGTCTAACGTCCATAAATGCTGTAATGGCAAGGCTACACACTTGGATAAGCGGCAGACTATCCAGAACCGCGCCTGATCCTAACCCATTCAGGCATAGAACTAGATAGGCACGGTTCTGGATATGATACAGACTATCCAGAACCGCGCGTGATCCTAACCCTGACCCATTCAGGCATAGAACTAGACAGGCGCAGAGACTATCCAGAACCGCGCCTGATCCTAACCCATTCAGGCATAGAACTAAACAGGCACAGAGACTATCCAGAACCGCGCCCGATCCTAACCCATTCAGGCATAGAACTAGACAGGCGCAGAGACTATCCAGAACCGCGCCTGATCCTAACCCATTCAGGCATAGAACTACTTAGATCGGCATGGTTATATGCGTCCATATGGGCGTGCCGACAGACGGCCTTCAAATTGTCTGTCGGCCTTCAAATAGGTAGAAATATTTCACACCAGCATTTTTCATTTACATGAATGTCTAACCTTCAAAGACGTACCAGCAATCCTGTTTCAAGAAGCAAAGAATAAGTAGGTCAATTGCTCAGGTAAGCAAATGGTCTCTTTTCGAGTACAATGTACAGTGTATCTCATTTATAAACCTGTGCACGTTCCTATTCAGGCAGCCCACTTTACAAGGCAGTTCTTGTATAATGAGATACTTAATGGGCACGCTGGCGTCATTGGTAATTAGTTGTGCGGCTCCCACATTGTGTGGTTTAGACACTTATGAAGTAACAGGCAGGCGCTTCTCTATCTGCTTGATACAATATACTACTTGAATACAGTGATCTGTTCATGCTTCAAATACTAATATGGGTTAAAGGGCCATCTCAAACCAGATTTTTTTTTCTTTCAATAATACTAGTACCTCACGTGGACAAGACATCTGTATGCAAATAGTGATTATTGAACATCTTGACGTAAAAAAAAGGTGGCACTCACAAAAACACTATCTACGCACATCTGTGCACAGTTATGGATTCAACACGAGTATGCTTTACTTTTTTTTGGACATGGCAAATGGAACCGACATCTGTAAGCATCTAATCGCGCATTTGACGTCAGAACTTTCATAGCAACGGAAGGCCAAAACAAAAACACTGCGCGCTTAGCAACACAGTAATTGTGCCTATTTACAGACCTAGAATGAGTCTTCTACCACTCAGCAAGGCTGTTTGGAACTCCAGTGCTTTCAAGTGGAGCCGGAAGCACCAAATGTGGTCACATAACGCGGTAAACGCTGCTCCTTCAAAAATAACAAGTGCTTCAAACAACTAATGGCAACTAGCTACTGATCTTTTAAAATAACTGGGGCTTTTAGCACCTCAAGTATGCCATCTTTCAAACAAACTAGTTCTTTATACACTTACCTGTATTGAAATAGTACTTCAATGCTTTTATGAATGAAAAAAGTGAAGCAGTTTTAGCTCGCTGAAGAGCTTATCTCCCACTGGTCGTGACAGAGAAGACAGACGCTATGTACAGTATTTACAGGTTCAAAAGCCGGGATTCAAACTCCCAACCTCTTCCCAGCAGCTTAATGCAAATGGGGCTGCATGCTGTGTTTTGTGTGTGTGTGTGTGGGGGGGGGGTATAATGTACTTTGTACTCTGGCTCTTGTGCAAGTCCAGTAGTGTAGGTACATGTACAAACACAGGTAACTGCACATATTATGTTTATTATGATTTAACTATCATTATGTATTATTATGTTTAATTCTGTGTCATTACTGGGTATTATTATGCTAAATGTTTATGTACTATATACAACAGAACAGCAACCAGAACAACAAACAAAAAACTCTGTACACAGCAATTTATCATCAATAATTTTCACATCAATATTTTCGGATTTAGACGGAGAAAAAAAAACACTCCAAGTTTTAGCAGCATCCTTAGTTTTGGCATTTGTTTCAGTATACTTGTAATTCACTTAACCCTTGTCCTGCTGGCATTTTTTACACAATACGTTCAACTAATTTGATGTCTTGACCACGTCATAGACCCTTGCCTTTTTTTGCCCTGCGGTGGCATAGTTACTAATACGCATTTGTTGTGATTCGCTGCAGTGTGATGCGTTGCACGGGAAACACCCCCAAATTGTACATGTACAGGGTGCTATATAGATGGTACTGTATGTGCAACCCATATAGAAATGGGCTCTGCAGGACAAGGTTTTTATGCTCGCAGCATTTAAATTTCGCAGCGCAGTAAAAAAAGGAAAGTTCACAGTTTAAACAACCTTACTAAGATGATGTATAATACATAGCAAATCTTTGTGGTGTGAGTTTGCTTTGAGAGAGTTTACCACGAAAACTGCCATTTAAGTTAAAATCCCCCCCCCCCCAAATTTGAAAATTTACAGTACATCAGTTGTCCCTATACTTAGTCCACACTGTGGCGACGTGTTAGCCTGAAACCACCAGGCCTCTGAGTAGGACTTTGTAGCGTTCTGTTGCGTCTCCCTTCAACACCAGCTGCACTGTAGCCTCCACTGGCTCACTCGGCTGCAAAACAGAAAACAGATGGAAGTCAAATGTTACTCTATCATAAATAAAAAATTCTGTGCCAATAACCTCCCTGACTGTTTTCAGAACTTTGAGTTAAGCCTTTTTCATTCAAAATCCAAGAAAAATTGAATTGACACGCAAACGCACACACAGACACACGCAAACACACATGCATGTACACATATGAACACGTGCACGCGCACACACATATACATGCACGCATGCACACATGCATGCACACACACACAAACACACATAACGCACACAGACACACAAACACACACACACATACGTACACGCACACATGCAAACACACATGAGCAGACACGCACACACACACACACACACACAAAAAAAAACACACACACACAAACACACACACACAAACACACACATAACGCACGCACACACACACACATAACACACACACACATGCCCATGTGAACATCACCTTCTTTAACCCTAACCCTGCTGCCTAACCCCTAATGGCTACCTTAGCAGGCTGAAGGTCAAAACTAGCTGCAACTCACATCGTGTCCAGCAGGGGGCGTCCATGTGAAGACCACCTTCCTGCTGCTGCCGGCCTCCATGGTGGCTTTGGGCTGTTCCACGTTGAACCCTTTGGGGGCCGCAAGCTGCAGGTTGTCCACACTGTACTCTCCACTCTGTGGAAGATTACAATGTATGTATTCAATGCTGTCAAACACTGACACTGCTGTCAGCTGGGACTTAATTTTGAAGTAAAAGGTGGGAAACAGGTTTTCCCTTTATTCAGTGATTGAAGTTCATGGTAGAAACAGTTCTATATTAAGTACTCTATAATAGTAAACACACAATCAGTTTAACCAACAAAAAACAATTATTGCAATTAGTGGTCTGTCCGATGACAGAGTGACTGTCTGTCAAAATGTTTGGGTTGTTATGTTTTTATTTTTCATTTTGACATTTTGAGGGAAGTGGGTGGGACTATGGGATCAGCTTATTGTGGGAAACAATCACCTGGTCAGGC